GATCTTAAATAAACTTGTCACTTCATTATATTTTTTATTACCCCTGAAGAAGGCTTATGTCAATAGCCGAAACGTTGGGTTTTAAAGATTTTTAACAGCTTTTCTCAACCAATGTGGCATTTCTATATTTATCATTTCGTTCATATTTATTTACCTATTTAATGCATAGCCTCATTTACAGGATCCGGACTAAAAAAAAAATTCAAAACAGAGACACACGCCCTGACGAAGCATATCAAATCGTCACGTTACGGGAATAAATAAAGTAAATTTTTCGATAAGCAGTCTTCTTCAGAGAATGAGCTTTTCCGTCTATGGGTTCCGGTTCCAGAAATAAGTGCCTTTTTCATAAATATTAGCTCAGGGCTCTTACTGTGGTGTAGTGCTGTTCTAACCTGAACTGTAAAGAGGCAAACTTTATTAGTAAAGAAGACAGAGACATCATAATTCTAACTCCGCAAGCTCCGGAACAGCAGGGCCTACCACAGAAAATGCGATAATTGGCAACAAAGCAAATATAAATTTTAAAAAAAAAACCATTTCGTTCATATCTATTAAATTTTTTAACGCATAGTTTCTTATAGGACCCTGAAGTAGACAAATAACTTAAAAACAGAGGCACACGGCGTAGCAACCGAACCGAGACACCCGTGCAGGGGGTCACGCCCCGAAACACTTCAAATTTCTGTGTAAATGTGGTACATTGCGTCAGCTCGTGAGAGATCTTGTTAAGTGCGTGTCAGCTGTATGAGCAACTTAACTGCAACAAGTAGCTTGGTTAGCGTTTTACTGTTCAGCTCCTCAGTTGATTACAAGGGATCATGTAGACACTGGCTTACCTCTACAGGGCTCTTACTGTAGTGTAGTGCTGTTCTAGCCTGAACTGTAAACAGGCAAACATTATTACTTAAAGAAGACAGTGATATCACAATCCAACTATGTCATTTTCGCAAGCTCTGGAAGAGCAGGGCCGACGCCAGAAAATCCGATAATTCGCAACGAAGCAAACAGAATATATATAAAAAACACTTCGTTCATAGTTATTTAATTTTTTAACGCATAGCCTCTTATAGGAACCTGAAGTAGACAAATAACTTCAAAACAGAGGCACATGGCGTAGCAAGCGAACCTAGACACCTGCGCAGGGGTCACGCCTTGAAGCACTTAAAATTTTATGTAAATATGATATACCGTATTGCGTCAGTGCGTTCGTGACAGTTATTGTAAAGTGAGTGCAAGTTGCAAGAGCAACTTAATTGCAACAGGTAGCTTGCTTGGCGTTTTACTCTCCAGTTCCTCAGTTGATTACAAGGGATCATGAAGACACTGCCTTACGTTTTGTTGATTTCTATGTGTTTAACAAAATCCTTAGCTGATGTTGAGCTGGGGGATTCGTTCTTTTCTCCCCTGGATGAAGACAAAAAAGTGAAGTTGTATTGGAATATTAGCACTGCAAACAAGGAAATTTATTTCACGGTGGAAGCCCAAACAACTGGATGGGTCGGATTTGGAATCTCTAGTGGGCAAGGCAGGATGGCAGGAGCTGATATTGTGATCGGCTGGGTAAAGGATGGTAAACCTTACTTCAAGGTAACAAACGCGTTCAAAGTTTCGAATTAGCAGTACTACGCTCCAGTAGGTTGCTCTGTTACGTTAATGGCTGATTCTTGCAGAAACTGAAAAAAATACCAGTCGATTTACGTAAACTTTGGACAAGGTTGCTGTGACTCAGACGATCGGAGAGGGTCATAATAGGTTTGGTGGGATGCAAGATTTGGCTCTTTTTCGCGGTGATATTCGGGATTTAAGCTGAAAACGGGAGCGGGAAGCGGGAATTTCAATTACAAGCAGGAGCGGGATTTTGTGTTTTTATGGGGTTGGGATGCGAGATTGGCAAGGGGAAAAGAGCGGGATACGGGATTTCAATTCTGTTTCAGGTTTCAAGTAATGAATAGTAACGGCTCCGTACCGTGCCAGGTTTTGTCAAACATATTCATTATCGCTTGACTATATCAGACTGTATGAGGTCTTTGAGCTTTTGTGTTGGCCTCTGACATCAATGACATCTGTCAAGAGACCAATCTGTTCATTTTCGACGGTACAGTTTTGACGCGTACATCTTTAATCTTGACCACCCGATCCCTTCTTCTGCCATGGTAACGGCACATACGTCAGCTTAACCATCAAAAAACCAAAGTTTGTGTTATTAACTTGCTTGCTGCTATTTTTGGCGACCGCGGGATCAAAGGTTTTAGAGAAAAAGGTGAATGAAACACAGGTATCAAAAACTGTGTTCAGCCACCTTAAGTACAATCAAACCTCTCCAATACAAGCCAATACGGACAGTAAAGGGACAGTCACTATAATGGAAGGTGTATAAATACTCTAAATAGAGCATTTAATTGACAGTTCATAAAACGGACGTCTTTGCATACTGTTCATGACATGAATAATTGGGGAGCTTAAGCAAACCACACTCTTTATAAGTTACTTTGCCGTCCTCTACAAAACAACAACCTGCAATGGCCAAGTTGTGCGTTGTCTACGGAACGTGGACGACGACGGCTAATTTTTGTATTTCCATTTGCAATTGAACGCCGTCGTTGCATATTTAGCTTAAGCACGTTTTTAGAGCCATTGGTGTAGCGAACAGATCTAGACAATCGCGAACTTCGCTTGTAAAATATAAATTCATTTTTTGCAAGGCGTCGAACACGGCGTCGTCGTCGTCGTCGTTTCTTAAGCTCCCTATTACCAGGTAATTAACGGGGACTAGAAATTTAGGCGTTCAATAGCGATAACAAGAGCTAATTTTATTCGTGTTCCTGGTTTAATTTTAAAATGACGTTTTGTATTCGTGTTGTTGGTTTTGTGTTTGTGTTTAAAGTGTTGCGGGTTTTGTGATTCTGTTTTATATGTTTTGCCGCGTTTTGTGTCCGTGTTGTGACATTTGTGATTCTGTGTTGTTTTTATCAGCTACCGTAGATAAGCTTCTGGATAAAATACGATCGTTAAGTTTGATCATGAAAAACAGTCAATTGTATTCCCAAACTTTTAATCACAAGTGCTCTATTCAACAATTAGATTATTCGCTTTCGACCGTTATTGCGTGATAGTTGACTCGGGCTGTGCCCTCGTCAAATGTCATGAAAGCAAATAACTTAATTGTTTGAGGATAAATCCTCTTCTTGTATGAGAAGGGGAGGGGAGAGTTACTTTTGTCTTTTTTTGTCTGTCTTATCCAGGCATGTGCAGTGCCAAAGAGTACTACTATGCTCAGAGCTATTTCGTTCTGGAATTAAGTATGGTTTGTGCAATTTGCTCAGCAAATACGTAAAATCTTAGAAGATACTATTTTTATCATTATTATTATTCATCTATTTAGAAATTTCATTTTGTTGCATCAGGAAATTGAAGCCCTTCCAAAAGTTTACGCAAAACAAAGCAGACTCTAGAATAATATCAATATTTAAGAACAGGTCACAACGTATAAAACAGAGTAGTGAAAAGTGCTAGTAAGACCTCGTGTGTCCATGAGAAAACCAGGCAGAACCAGGCAGGAGGTGATACAGCACAAATCACCGATTTTGCTCAAACTTGGCACAAATGTTGGGTTTGGTGAGTAAATGATTATAGCAAGAAATTAGGTCAAAAGATTTTATTCCTTTCATGTTATGGGGCCCTTAAAATGCAACGCAAAGCACTCTGCCATCTTTGACATAGAAGATGAAAAGACAGCTGATTTCTCCCTTTAATTCGGTAGGTATGTCATGTATGGTGACACAAATTCTACCGCTTAATATCGTCAAAGATCGCGGGATGTTTTGTGGTGGGCTTTGAAAGGAATCTGTATTTTAAAGCACTAGTGATGGCTCTTCCTGGATTATGAACGGCCTTTTGAGTAGCTTTCTCGACAACCTGACGATAGATCTCTGATGATGAAAGCGGGATGACAATGGATATTCTCTACAAAAATCGGCTCGAAGCAACCGAACAGATGGACATTTCGCTACCCAACCATCAAAGAGAACACAAAATCACGTCTTAGTGACCTGCATGTAGTAATTTCTTTCCGTATTTTACACCTAAAATCATACTAAGTTAAGGAACTTTTGCTTTGAATCTTCTTCTGTTTTTTTTTTTCAGTTTCTGATGTTGTGAGAATGTCACAAAATATAGCTCTGAAAATATTTGAAAGAAATGTCTCAAGTGCTTCTTTTCGCCGAATTTATACTGGAAATTGATAGGAAAATACTTAGCAAGATATTTCTTGTTGATTTCGAGTTTGTTTAAGACAGAAAAAGGGCTTTTGTAAAGCGCTATTAAATAGCGATAGAAATACCGCTATATAAATAAAGTATTATTTATTTGTTTATTTATTTATTTATTTATTTATTTATTCAGTGGATGTTCATGAAATGGCCATAAATCGTAAAAACCTTTGTAAACATGTCTGAAAACATGTCATGGCTATTGTGAGAACTTTATTGATTGCTCTTATTATCCATGTTGGATGTATTTGCTGTTGCCTATTGCAGATACTTGCCATCAATTAAAAGTTATTGATCAAAACTCCAC